TAGGTTGTATCTTACTGGATTTTATTATGTATGATAGTATAAGCAAAAACCTTTTAAAGACAAGGAGATTATACAGAAACCATTGTTCATTTTCTGTTAGTCGATTCTAAATACTCTGTAATGCTGTCATTCTCTTAAATGGTTTTACATTGTTTTGATATACTTAATGCTACAGTATACGAAGTTGTACTCAAGGATTTCAAGGAAAGAGATAATAAGGTAACTACTTTTAGGTCAGGATTATCTGGTGGTGAAACACTATTCTGCTTAAATGGTTATGTTTTGATCTGTGCTGTTTCGTTGTTATGCCCTCTTTTATCTCAATCTCCACTCCATTATTTACTTTTTTATTTTTATCCTTTTAATTAAAGGAAAAAAATAGCAGGATATATTATAGTAACCCACTTTGACTTTCCATTACCTCGATTTAAAGCCCTGTATTACTCTCACCATCTGGTTTTTAACTGATGTTCCCCTATTCTGTTTTGCTGGATAGTATCAGGTTCGAAAATTTAGGCATCAGCTGTGAAGATAATGAGATTCATTATAGCGCCCATTCTTGTTGACTTTTATCTATTTTTGAAGACCTACAATGTCTCCAATGTTTTGGTTTTGTTGGTTTTATTCTTTACTGTTTTGTTCAATTGTATTGTAACTAATGATATAGGCAATTCTATTAGAGATAGCGGGAGGCATTATGGTAACCATTGTTGATCACCTTGTATTATGTTTTCACATTATCTATTATGTCCACCCTTTTGACTTGACCGATTCTGTTCTATCACATTTGGTTTTACTCTCTTCCAAAAAAGTAATAAGAACCATGGGAGCAATGAAACCCAAAATGTGTAATAGTCATTGTACAAAAGAGAGGAAAAGAAAGTGCTCTATACTATATAACTGCATGTATATTTAAGTGTATAAGATAGAAAATGATATCACAGAGTTTTATTGGATCATTGAACAGAACTGTTTGCAGTATCATTGATGGAATGTCCACTTTACAAGCTTTAATTTTGTGACTTGAACAATTATTTCTAAGATGACAATATGTAATCCATTAACTAGTGATTTCCTACTGTTCATTTTTTTTCTGCAAATCTGTATAACTTGTACCCTTTCTCTGCTTTTTTTCTTTTCTCCTTAAATAAAATTAAAAAAAAATCATAAAGGTTGATCATGGTAATTTCAGTGGGCAATAGTATTTTCCCTAATACTGGACATCCCACGAAGTTTCCTCCTCCTCTTCCATTTACTCATAGCAGATTGACCAGAAGTTCATTCCCCATGTTTACCATATATTACAACAGAAAACACATCCAGGAAGAACAACATCATATCAAGTACCTTTGCTGACCACAACAGCATGAAAGTAGAACTCAGTAACAGGAAAAAACTGAAAAATTCAGAAATAAGTGGAAATCAAACAAAACCATATCAAAAAACTAATGAGTCAAAGAAGAAAAACTAAAAATTATCTTTAAACAAAGCAAAATAGAGACAAAAGAAAAATAAAACTTATTTGACACAGCAGAAGCAGTTAAAATGAACATTTATGGCTAGACATGTATATATGATGGGAAAAAACAAATAAACACACTAACTAGATAAAGAAAAATGAGTCCAAAATTAATGTAAGGAAAAATTAAACTTACAGTAGAAATAAATGAGAGTCTATAAGGAACTAGAAGAAAAACAAAATAGTCCAAATGTATTGCAAAGAAAAGAATAAAGATAGACTAGAAATAAAAGATCACAAATATAAATAAAATTGTGTTGTATTTCACAATACATAAATAAAATTAATGTACTTCTAACCAGACTAATAAAGGAAAAAGAGAGTCAGAACTCTATTGAATACAATTCTAAGTGAAAATGAGCCACAATAGCAGATATCCTAAGATTTAAAATAATCATAAGTAACTATGATGAACAATTATACACCAACAAATTGAATAACTCAGAAGAACTCTATTGGTGCCTATAAATCCAAAATCTATTAGGAGAGCATAATGAAGAAATGAAAAATCTGAAAAAAAACCAATAATGCATAAGAAGATCAAATTATTAGACAAGCAACTAAGAAAAGAAAGTTAAAACACAGAAAGATTTGCACACAAATCAAAACACATTTTTGAAAAAGCATCAATTCTATGCACCAGAAAAACAAATGACAATGTCATGCATGAGAGTATTGCTGATAAAAATAGATGCAGTCAGTGTAAAACCATTCAAGTGGATGAAAGCATTGTAGGGTATTTAGAACCAGCTAACAGAAAATGAACAATGGTTTCTATATTATCTCTTTGCCTATAACAATTTTTGTTTATACTATCACATATAATAAAATCCAGCAAGATACATCATGATAAAACCAATGGAGAGAGAAGAGCCATAACTTGGTGGGGCTTCAAAACAAGATGTTTGAAGCTATAGTATATGAAGTTATATTCAAATATTTCAAGGAAAAGGACACTATGGTAACTACTATTAAGTCGGGTTATTTGGTGGTGAAGCACTAAGTTGCTGAAACTGTCATGCTTTGACCTGTATTGTTATGTTGTTATGTCCTCTTTTATCTCAATCTCTCCCTTATTCATTAAAAAATTATTTAGTTATTTTTTGTGATTTTTTTTAATTAAGGAGAAAAATCAAAAAATTAGCAGGATATATTATAGTAACTTTTTTGATTTCCTATTAACTTGATTTGAAGTCCTGTAATACTCCCACTATCTTGTTTTGACTGATTAAACTGTGTTCCATTCTGTATGATAGTATCAAGTTTGAGAGTATAGGCAACTACTTTGAAGGCAATAAGATTCACTATGATGCCCATTCTGGTTTGACTATTATCTTCTTTTGAAGTCTGGTAATGCTTCCAAATGTTTAGGTTTTATTGGTCTTGTTCTGTACTGTTTTGTTAATTTATTATACCTAATAACATGGACAATTCTTTTTAAGAAAGCAAGAGGCATTATGGTAACCATTGTTGATAATCTTGTATTCTGTTTTTACATCATGTGCTATGTCTATCCTTTGTTTTGACTGACTGCTTTGTTTTGTCATGTTTGGTTTTATTCTCTTCCAAAAAAAGTAATAAGAACTATGGGAGTACTAAAGCCCAAAATGTGTAAATTTTGTTGTAAAAAAGAGAGGAAAAAATGCTCTAAAGAATACAACTGCAAGTGTGTTTAGGTGTGTTAAGATAGATGACTGTATTACTGAGTTTTTCTTGGATCATTGAACACAGCTGGTTGCAGTCTCACTGTTTGAATGTCCACTTTGTATGCTTTGGTACTGTGACTTGAGCAACTATCTCTAAGATAATAATGTGTAATCTATTAACTGGTGATTTCTTACTGGTTTTTTTTTTTTTTTTTTGTAGTTGTGTCTTACTTATACCCTTACACTGCTTTGTTTTGTTTTGTTTTTTTCTCTTTTTCTTTTTAAATAAAATTTTTTTAAAAAGTAGATGCAAAAACCCTCAACAACATGCCAGCAAACTGGTTTCAACAGCAAGCTAATAGTATCTCACACTACAACCAAGTGACATTCATCACTGGGTTATAAAATGAATAATATATAGAAATCAACAAGTTGAATATATTAATAAGAGGATAAAATACATCAGTTGAAGCACTTGAATAAGATAAAGCTTTTGTCAGTTATTTACATAGTGCATCTTAATTACACAGAACAATGAGTTACATCACGAAAATTTCATGCATGCACACAACTGACTTTACAAAGTTCTATCATCACCAACATCCCTAATCCTTCCATTCTCACCTCGCAGACCTTTATCTTCCTAATTGTATTCATTATAAATTCACATCATTTGTAAAACTGAACATGCATCTATGATACAAACTCTTAAAAAATAAGTATAGATGGAATTTGCCTCAATATCAAATGGATTACAAGCTCACAGTTAACATCACACTAAATTTGTAATCCTGCCTCTAAGATCAAAAACAAAATAAGAGTTCCCAATCTACTATTTTTATTCAACATACTACTCAGGGACCTAACCAGAGAAATTAGACAAGAAAAGCAATTTAAAACCCTCCAAATTGGAAAGGAAAAAGGAAGTTGTATGTTTGAAGATGATATGATCTTCTACAGAGAAAATCTTACAGACCATACACACACACACACACACACACACACACACACACACACACACACACAAATACTATTAGGTCTAATAAATTAATTCAGAACAAGTGTGCAAGACAAAGTAAACACTAAAAAGTTGATCACATTTTTGTATACTTATTACAAACTGTCTGAAAATAAACTTGATGAAACAATCCTACTTCCAATCATCAAACAGAATGAAATGCTTAACAATAAATGAAAGAAGTAAAACATCTGCATACTGAAAACTATACAATACTGATTAAACAAGAAAATCAAGCATTATGTTGTACCCTGAAAAATGACTCAACAACTTATTCAAAACATTCCACTTCTCAAAGATCCCAACACCAAACTGAGGATTAGGCCTTCAAAACATTAAAGGCATTAAAACACTGGAGGAACAAATCATATTTAGCCATAGAAAACATGAAGAAATATCACATATTTTAGGATGATAATATTAAAAGACAGGTTGAATTAATGTTTGCAAAAATGTGAATAAAAAGGCATCTCTGGGGTCTGTGGGTGACAGAGTAACTAGGATAGCCAGTATGCAACAGTTCAATAAATGAATAAATTAGGATCTAGCAATCTCACTTCTAGAAACATGTAAAAATATATGCATAGAGATATCTAGCCTTCCGTGTTTATTGCAGCATTAATGGCAATATGGAAGATATAAACACAAAGTCTGTTGATGAATGAATGAGTAAAGGGAGTATACACACAAGCAGACACATATTGGATGTTGTTTCACTCAGAAAATGGATGTCTTCTCATTTTCAACGATACGGATGCATTTGTAGGACATCATTGGTACCAAAATAAGTCAGGCAAAGATAACAAATACTGTATAATCATATTTATTTTTAGAATCTAAAAAATCAATCTCCTAGAAACACAGTAAAATGGTGATTAAAATGGAGTAGAACTGGGGAAATGATAATCAATGTATCAGTTAAAACATAAATTTTAGAGATGCATGCTATCATGGTGACAATATTTAACAGTTTACATTTAGAGGTAAAACTTATGGAGATCCTAAATATTTTTAGTAAAAGAAAATAGGTAAGCATAATAGGTAATAAATAACTTGATTGTCGCAATTATTTCACAATATATGTGTGTATCAAATAAGCATTTTGTAGCTTAAAATATAGTTCAAAGTGAAAATGACACATCAATAAATGTAAAGGGAAAAAAAGAAATAAGTGGAGGAACTATATCATGGAATTATATCAGTAAATACACCTTATCAATTAGAAAGGCTTTGCACCTTCCATTAGAAAGGCTTTGCACCTTCCATTTATTAAGGAGACTTTAATAAAGTCTCCAGTGTAGTCTGTGGCACACGCAAGATGCTCAATAAATTATAGTTTTTGAATACGTACATAAGTCAATAAACACATAAGCATAGTAACAAGTTTATCATAAGTGGAAGAGTTGACCACTTGCTATGGATTGAAAACTGATGGTCAACTTAAACATCAGCTGAACTGAATCAGTGTGGTGCTGCATGTAGATAGCCCACCTGAGGACTGTTGCCAGCACAAAAAGGAGACCTGGAAAGGTAGCCTTGTGGGTTCCCCCAAATGTTGTTGTTGTTTGGAGCTCTTGGTTCTCCTGGAGAAGCTTGTCATGCTGGCTCCCTTGATGTGAACTCAGCTGTTATCATCAAAGGACTTCAGAACCTTGTTTGTGAGAAAGGCTGCGGTTCACTTTGGGGGAGCTCTGGCCTTTACTTTGAGCATCGCTTCCTGGATTCAGAAGGTATACTGCTCAAACTTCAGGAAAATATTGTCACTCTGACTTCCTGATATGAATTGTTCCCATTCTCAGAGAAGTTCAGGACCTCATTGTCAATAAGGATGACTGGTATTTTTCAAGGGAGCCCTGGTCCTTATTTTGAGCATGGCTTCTTGGCTCAGTGTAGAACCCTCAACCTACAGATCCTTCACCTCACTGGCACAGTCTTTCTGGCTTCCACTGCTGAACTTTGGACCTTCTCAGTGTAGATCCATGAAACAGATTTGCATAAGTCATTGTCATGGGCTCTAGGCCTCCAGTTGGACTTGTGGGGGCATTGTTATGGGCTCAGGTCCTCAGCTTCACTCATGCAGGACATTGCTGTGAGATCCAGACCTTTGGTTGGATTTCTTTGGGTCTTATTGTGAACAGATTTCCTGCAATTTCTTTGTATTTAACTAGAATTATATGTCCTTTATGTAAGTTTTCTCTGTGCAACCCCTGACTACAACACTACTTACCTAAAATCCTGTGGTCATTCCTTACATATACGGAAAGCATTATTAGCTATCTATATAATGATGACTGTCAAGTGAAGCAATGTATAGGAAAAATGTTTGACTCAAAAACAGATATTCATCATTTTACAGACTAACTGTTGAGAATGGTCACAACGGGCATCATTCCAGCCCCATTGTTTGTAACTGTCACGATAGTTTATAAAAACACAACGCTCATTCACATTACTGGGCTCACCAAAATGCCAGAATCTGAAAGAGAAAAAATCCAATCATGAATTCAGTAGTGCTTGGAAAGGATTAGAGACAGTAAAGGAACTGGGATTGGACTCTATGGAAGTCAATCCTCCCCACTGTGTATGCAGCTTCTCTTCCACCAGCATCCCAGACATTTCCTTTGGAAACAGTGCTTGCACCTGTGCCTATTGCAGTAAAAGCCCTGCCCCCCTGCAGATATCCCAGAGGCTCTCTTTCACCTGTTTATCTTTGCATCTTGTTTTCAGGGAACTGTCAAGTCCCTGGAGGTTATTTTCATGATGAAAAGATTTTGCCCTGGTCCCTTGTATCACAATGTTTCCTTTCTTTAGTGTAATGATTATGGAGTCTGAAGCACTGTTAACCATCTCAGAATCATCTACTGATTCCTATTTTCTTGGACTAGTAAAATCTAATTCTATACTTACGTGACATTTTTGTTATATGGTGTCTTATCAACCCATTGCCACTGTCTGTGACCTTGTGGATCTGACAGTCCTATATAATAAGCAGCATTATTGTTCATGTTCTTGGTTATGAAATCCTAAGGAAGGTAAACAAAAGGACACAGAGCCTTACAGTACTCACCCAGAACTGAGCAATTTTATTTTTTTCAAAAAATATGTACTTATTTTTAAAACTCTTCAGTTATGTGTATACTTGTAAAAATTGATGGGATACAATGTGACAATACATATATGCTTTGTGTAGTGATCAAATCAGGTAGTTAACATTGCCTTCTACCTAAATGTTTTCTTAAATTTTTATTATTACTTAATCATATTCTTAGTGCATATTGTGTTATTTGAAGTGAATTTTATTGGCCATACAAAATGAGAAAAGTGGGAAAATGATCAAGGAACAGCCATATAGACTACATAGAAACGTAAGACCCTGGAAGAGCTGGTAGCAGTATATACATTACTCATGAGCCTGATTTTCATTTCATGAGGAAGCGATGTCCATCTATGATCACAGAGAACTCTTATTTCAGAGTTGCTTCTCCTGTTTTATCACTAGATAAGGATGGTGTTCTTTAAAACTACATGTGATAAAATATTTGCATATTTAATCATTTTTCTTTAATTTAAGAGATATTTGGTGTTTCTGGTAGATGATTTAACTTTATTTCCCTATTAAACTTCATACTTTTCTCTACACACAATGTATACATACAGAATTAAACTGATATTTCAGAAAGAAATAGAGTCTGCCAAAAAATGTATATGCACTTCAGAGAAAAAAAAATAACATTTTTTTTTCAACTGATGGTGTTACCCTGGTATGTGGGACCCTAGAGAATTCCATATATCATGGAAAACACACTACACTAAAGACTGTTGGAGAGAAAAAAAGTGAAAATTCATGTGTAGCAATCTCAGTGAGCAAGTTTACCCAGGTAGCAGTTCACCATACTAATCAATGTCTGGAAGTTAATGGCCATCACTTTGAGCACCTCTTGCAATTGTAGAGGCCAAAGATATCTTGCATCAACCTCATGATGTTCTGAGAAGTTTAGTATTAAAATATTTACGTACATTTTTCTTTTCCTGAAGTGTGTATACATTTTTTGGTGGATGCAGAATTTTCATCCTTCCTCTCAAATCCTTTGAGAAATCTTTTAAAATTCACTGTTCCCTTTGTGTTCATTAGTATTCAGAAACAGAAAAAAGGTATTAAGTGAGAATGCTGAGGATTCATGCTGTCCCATGTCTTTTATTGAAATCCTTCTGCTACAACCTTGTATTTTAACACTTACTAGTCCAATTATTTCAATACAGGATGATCACAAAATGCTTTTTTGTTTATTTTTATAAAATAATATAATAGGATATATAAAAGCAACAATCTCATCAAATTTATTCAATACAAGAATTGACAGGTTGAAATGACAACTAGTCAGCATATAAACAAATGTGTTTCCAAATCATATTTGGACTAAACTGTTAAGTGCTTAAAACAGTAACAGTCAACTCTTTGGTAGCAAAAGTAGACCACCAAATTGACTCATGTCTCCCTTATCTCTTAGACAGTACCTGCTCCTCCTTGCTGGTGATCACCACCAGATGAGCCTCCAGGTGAGAACAGTATTCCACACTCTGATGCCATGATCTTTCTTCATTTGGATAGAAATAGCAGTGGGAGTTAAATGATATCCAATTCTTTGGGCAACAGCTCCAGACTTTTTCTTTTTTGGGAATAAGGAAATAAATGTGCAATATAAGAAAACTATTTGAAAAAAATGTAGCTTACTGAAAGTATTAAGGACTCTAAAACCACCAAATAGAAGCTGGAACTTCCATAGTTCCCAGACATAACAAGCAGCCCTGAGGTGAAAGAGAAGTAAAGTCCACCTCCTTAGACAGTAATGGGACAGGATTCCTTTCTCCTGAAGAAATAGTATTAGAGAAAGCCAAAGAAAACCTAATCCTTAAACTCAGACTCAGAACATAATACACAGATTTCCAGCCTGAAATGGGAAAAAAGTCAATATATCAAAAGCCAAGAAATTCTCAAAATTTCTAAATATCATTATCCAAGACAATGAAAATATTAAGAGTTATGTAACAAGGTTTTAAATTAACTATGATAAAATGCATCAAAAAAGTTACACATTTTTAAAATGAATGAAACTACAGACTTATCAAAGACATAGAAGATATATAGAAAAACCAAATTTAAAATTTGTCATTGAAAAATGCAGTGACCTTTTAAACATTCAGTGAATAGACCCAAAAGCAGATTGACACTGGTGGCAGAGACATAAGTAAATTGTTTGACAGAACAATAGAAATCACCCACAGAACAGTAAGGACATAAGCCAACAACAAAAAAAAAAGTCTTGTAGCATAATATTAAATGTTTACATGCCAAACAACAGGGATATGGACTATGTTAATTAAGAACTGACACAAATGAAAGGAGAGTAAAAAACCACATTATTATAAGTGGAGAAAGCCAGCAACAATATTTAAGAATTTAACAAAATTTTCAACCAATACAATCAGTTGAACATTACTAGAACATTCAGTACAGAGCGCCCATTTTTATCAATGCCCAAGGAAGAAGTTCTAAGAAACAAAAACAAGGCAACAAAACTTAACACATTTTAAAGTATTAAATGATAAAGAAATTATTCAACTATAATTGAAGGAAACTAGGAATGAATACAACAAGGAAGACATACTTGGAACTAACCAACACAGTTCTGAGCACCCCATGGGTCAGAAAACCATCAGACAAAATTTTAAAAATACCTTTAACTGAATAAAAATGGAAATATAACTTATCAAAAAGTGTAGGATACTATTCTTTAGTAAAAAAAAGTCAATGCTTTTTAGGAAACTGCTTGTTTGTAGGATCGGCACAGGAAAAATACAGTGAATCTAGAGGATTTTGCAGTAGCAGAGCGTGAAGAAGGAAACAAAACACACAGATACTGAAATGTCAAAGGGACAGAGCTAGAAAAACAAGATAAATGAAGTAATAGTAGATAATAACCCAAAATATAAAACAAATATCCAAAGATATAAACCATTAAAGGGCTTAGTAATGAAAATCCAAGCATATACAATTACTTCAAATAAGTTTACATGAATATTGATGTCTACTTTCACATGTTATTTTGATCAAACAATCTGGATATTTCTTTCCAGGGTATTTTAGTGTGTGTACACACACACACACACGCAACTTCAATTAGTGATAATACATCAATATTTGCTCACTAGAAGTAACAAATGCCCTTATTTATCACGATGCTAATAATATGAGGTAGTCTTTGTGCAGAGTGGGACCAAAATTGGAACGTTTTATGTCATACACTCAATTTTTTATAAGCAAATTGTTATTTAATATACAATTTTAATGAAAATAATTGATATTTTAATAAGTGAATCAGCATTATTTTCATCAAATATTTATAACTAAGAAAGAGCAGTGGCCATAAAAACATTCAGAGTGAAACAAAAGATGAAGAAATCCAAAACTACAGTAAACTTTTACACAATCACATCTTGCACAAGTTAATGTACACATGAAAGAACTTTAGGTCTCATATAATTGTATATTTGTAGCTTATAATGATCATTAGACTACATTGTTAATATGAACCACCTGGAAATTCTATTGGAAATACTGATTCAGGGTCTTTAGTATTTTTAGCAACTGAATTCTAGACAGAGTAAATTTTACCTTTTGTACATGAATTGCTTCTTTTACACCATAGTTCTGTGTGTGATTGTGTACATTCTTTGACAGCCTTCTTTTCTTCAAGAAGCTGAGAATATTTTTGAAAGAAAACTAGAAAATACAATAAAAACCATTTATTTCCTGGTGGCATTTTGACTGTGTTCTCTATCATTCCTTTCTTGCATTCTTAATAGAAACATATTGTAGAAATGCCCAATGACTGAGGTAGAGAGAATCTGGCTGGAAAAGTTTTCCTGTCTTCCTAAAGTGAGTGGAGTCCTAATTCTGCTGATGGAAATTTCTAGGGGGAGCCAAAAGTTCAGTATTTGAAAGAGAACATGGTAGTTCCATCATAATGGGTCAAAAGAGACTTGCCATATTGTATTGCAATATTTAATGTAAGATGCACCCAAAGGGTTAACCTTAGGGTAAGAGATTATAGGCAGATAAAAACTTGCACTGAAGGGCTCACAGACTGAGACTTAGGGGAAATGAAAAATTAGCTAAATATTAGCCTTTCTCGGTTACCTTAGAGAATGGAAAATTTTAAAAATAAACAACATTGACAAGAGACATTGTTCTTTTCCTCGTCTGTCTTATACCACCCTCCAGGCAACCTGATTCTTACTCCTCAGTAATCCATACTCCCCTGCCTTCCCCAACTTATAAGTGACTCACCTTTCCATCTATAAACTGCATTTTTGTCCCTTTTTGCCTTATACTGAACCTTGACATCTGGCCCTCAAAACATGATATTCCTGCTTTGCTTCTACCAGTCATTAAAATCTTTCTTGTAATAAATTTTCAGTAATATCTCAGAACTGCTGATTGATCATAAGCCCACAGGATGTCTTGCACTACCAGACCAGTTTTCCTCCTACCTGACTCTTGGCACACTGCTCTTTGATGTTTTTGCCCCACCTTTATCAAGCTGCTTGGTAGATGCTTTCAAAGGCTCTGCTTCTCCATCTGTCTCTTAAAATGGAACGTTCCCTAGAGTTCCATCCCTACCTTTCATTTTTGCACTAAATCTTCTTGAGTGATATCATATATTTCTACCAACTGCCTGTGTGTAAATCATTTCCAAAACCAGACTTTTCTACTGCAATCTCCTGGTTGGATGTACATTTCAAATGCAAATCAACAAGTCCAAGCCTGAAATAATTTTTCAACCCAAACTTACTGCTTATCTCATATAGTTTACATTTTTTAACAACCTCATGACTGTTGAGTTTACCAGCTCAGAATATCAGAGTCCCATAACATCCTGGGTCCTTTAAATACTGAGATTTAAATATTCATCAAAGTGCTATGTCCTTAATTGAATCTCCTTGATCATTCAAAGCCACCTCCTTTTCTCTTTCTTCAGTAACACTATTTTAGATGATCATCCATTTCTCAATTGGATTATGAATGTGCCTTCTAAATTCTCTCTTTACCTCCATTGTCAAACTTCTGAAAAAGCATACTTCTGTAACTCAAATGTGATCAGTTCCCTACTTAAAACTTTGCAATACTTCTCCAAGACTGTGACACACTGGGAAAATGGCCACAATTCTCAGCCCTCCCTATATCCACACCACTTTCCAATGTGACTTTGCAGCTTCCCCAAGCAGGAGATAGAGACTGCTTCTCTACCATTTGAATTTGAACTGCTTTTAATTCTCCCTGTGATAAATAGGATGTGCAGAAGTAGCTCTGCATGAGACCGAGTTGAAATTTCAAGAGGCCCTGGTGTGGCCAACTCAGCATTGGAAGTCTACACACCCAGGATAGCCCAGCCATCGAAGGCAGAAATGTGGCCCCCATTGCCCAGTGGATCTCAGCTGACTGACATCCACCAGAAGACAATATACGCAGAAATCCATATATTTGTTAAATTGGGTTTTAGAACATGTACAGTCTTGAGCATGACAGAAATAATTAGAAGGATATTTATTTCACAAATCTTTCCACAATATTTCTTCCCATCTTTTTTCTTGTCCATATGCTCATCCCAAAAGACAAGTGTCTGTCCACTCAACTAGTCCTGCCTTTCTAAATCTTGCAAAAGAAATCCATCTGTTCTGATGGATAGGGAGAGAAAAATCTATGGTAAATTCCCATTAATTTTATCTACCTAATGTACATTTCCTTTCCATATATCCTGATAAACCCCTTGTTTAATGTGGGTTTCTAGTAAATGCTTCATCTTCTTTAAGGAAAAGGTGGCCTTTTGATTCAGCTGGCATACTTACTGATAAAAGTAACACAGAATATGATGGCCAAAGGGAGAAGTATCAACAACGGAACAAGAAACATCTTAGGAAGATGAAGATTACTTCTCTGAGGTGCGGTCTTCCCTTTGGGAGAAACCAAATTAGTTTCATGAGTAGTACATTCTGTCCTTATTTCCTCTTCCTCCTTTTTCCCCCCTTTACTCCCATGACATACAATTACTAATAATATGGAATTTAAAATAATAAAACATAGGATTAGGAAAGAAATAATGATGTGCTTATTGAAACCACACAAAACACATAAAAGCAAGAATTTTTTCCTTTGAGAAAAAATTTTAATAAGTTAGATTGTCTTTTCAGCATTTTAAAACTGCATATGCACATACAATTCATTGATTGCTGACCGATTTCTTCTTTAACACTGCCATTGTGAAAATTGTGATTATATATTCTTAACATATTCATTAAGTTTGCATAATACTTCATTTTACCTTTAAGTAATTGCAAGATTATGTCTACTTTATAGCTTTGTGTATCGTAGCAAACATCTGTAGTCATACATCACATTTTTGGGTAAGGTCAGTTTTTCGGTCTCCACCTTACCACTGTACCCTATTTTCTTTTCTCGGGACCATACCTGAGGGGAAGTCCCTGACCTAGTTATAAGAGGCTCTGGGTTCAGTTCCCAACACTGAGGCAAAAAAGTGCCAAAAAACTAAAAATCATTTCTTACCTTATGATAGGTTGTTAAGGAGAGAAGAAAAAAATTTGAGTTTTACATATTTCTTTTTTTTTTTTTTTTTTGTCTTTTTCATTTTTATCAGTACCGGGGATCGAACTCACAACCGCCTGCTTGCAAGGCAGGTGCTTATGCCACTGAGCTAAATCCCCAGCCCCAGTATATACATGTTCATGTATATCTTTATGCAAAAAGATAGCAAAAAATGCATGAATCTTTTCTTCCCTACTGTATAACCCCATGGCTGCTTAACCCTTATCTACAGGTAGCACAATCTGCAGAGTTGTCTGCATTTCCCAGATGCATCCATCAGGTCAGAGAAGCAGCAACTGACCTCACCCACTGTGTTCCCAGATCCCCCACACACCAATCACCTCAACACTGACTCTGACAGAGACCAAAAAAGGTTTTTTGTTTTTTTTTTCAGTTTTGTTTTTTACCTTTAGGAGAGTCTGGGTTGGTACCTGAGGATTCAGTTTTGATTCTCAATTCAGCATAAGTGACTTCTGCAGCCATGGTGAGAAGAAACTTTCTGTTTTCTCAGGAAAATCAATTTTATTCTCTGCTTACACAGCTCATGAATGGAAATCAAACGTTGTAAATTCTCCAATCATTCAAAAAGATGAGAAGAGCTGCAGTAAATAGCCCAGTGCCTGGAAGAGGCTTCTCGTGAGAATGAGAATCTCACAGTGTGGGAACACTGAGTTAGCAGACAGAGATCCACTCCCCGGACTGAGTTCATAAGAACTGTGACTTTGAAACATGTGCAGTGCAGTTTGGAAATATTACAAAAATGACCATTCACAAGAGGAAGAAAGAAAAAGAGGAACCAAGCAACCAGAAGTCTTTCCTTAAAACTGGGGCCTCTGAATGCAACAAGAAAGCCGAGAGGAAGTGGATGGAAAAAGAATTAAGATGTATTATGTACAGATATCAACTCCCCCACCAGGAATACAATCACCATGCCCTACAGGCATGTACTCATGAAACTAAAAAAATGAAATCAGTAAGTCAACAAAACTAAGTAAATGGAAAAAGCACATGTGCTTCTGTGCACTAATATTATTACCTTCAAATCATCCCATCTGACCAAACACTTGTGTGCACAGCAATCACTTTATTTGTAGCTGCTGTCAGGCACCTTCTAGGTACCACATTGTATGAGGATTGTTGGCACAAACTGAGCTGTCCCCTTTCCTTCTTGGAAGAGCCAGTTCCCCCTACTGTGGTGGAGAAGGCACAGTGCATGTTTAGTGTCTTCTGAACCCCGCTGAGCTCCCTGCTTTAAACAGTTGCTTGTAATTAATTCCCTCAGGCGTCCCCATTCCTTTTGCTACTGACCATCTCCAGCACTCTTGAAAGCAGCACTCTCTGTTGGACCTTGAGGGACAAGGGCATTTTCAATCCTGCATCTCTCTGTCCTTTCCACCACACACTATTCCATACGTAGCTAGATATGTGCATGTGACTTATTTTTCACAAGATAATTACATTGAATCACTTATAGACAAGGACAAACATCAGTGGAGTGCCAAATATGAAGGTTTTGCCTCAGGCCAAGAGAAAAACATTCCAAAAATTAAACCTTTCTGTGGTAGAAATTTTGAAATTTTAAAACTAACTAGCAGTGTGATATCGTATTGAGATAAGATATGCTCATCCTGCTTGCCACTTACCTAGAATGCTAAACCCAGTCAGCCTTGACTGACTGTATCCAGCAGTTTTTCATAGATTACCTGACCATGCCCGCCTGCAATGTCTGTGTTTTCCCATCTGAAAACACATCCTGTTTTTTCTAACACATTCAAGGACTTTCCAGCCAGTAACAGAGAATGACTAAGTCAACCTGATGCAAATTCACCATGATTCTAAGTTTCTGTGCTTTCTGCTTGCAAAACCTGTATAAACCAAACCTGAACCTGCTTGGAGATGATGATTTAGAACTGATTCTCACCAGCCTGGCAGTGAAACAAACAGTTGTTTTCTAACTTCTTGGTGCAGACCATCCTCATTTCAGTTTGGAACCACATCTGTAATATTCTCCAAGGGATTTCCACAAACCTGTTCCCAACACGGCCAGGTTCTCCTCAATCTATTCATTCCCAAATAATTCCTTTCTTAAATTTCTCCTTCCTTACTCATTTCATTATTACACACACACGTCTGTATTTTATTTCTATATTGATTTCTGTATATGTATGCACTGAAATCCATGAGTTCGCACTAATACCTCTAAGTTTAATTCAATGTAAAAGGCTTCATCTTAGTTTTTCTCAATTTTCACATTTCTAACTTGTTCCTGTGACAGTAAAACAATATTTAGTTATTTTTATCTCATTTTCTTATTTGATTCTGCAAGATCCCTCTCCTAACTCAGTTTGGACTCTGATTCCACACAAAAATTTACCTCCTGAGTTCTTGCCCTCTTCACACTGCTTGACCTCAGACTCCATATGCTAACCCTTCCCTCCACATTGATGTTCTCATTCACCTCAGAATCTGACTTGCTGCACCAGGCTGCCCTCTGTGGACACACTTCTCAGTCTTCATATCCTTCATACTCTTTAGCATGCCAGTACCATGCATGGACACACATACAACCACGCTGTGGTTCTCGTACCAGAACACTTTCCCTCCACCACGATCATATTTTCCTCATTTTCTTGGACTCTAAATTCAGTACTCTGCCAACCACTTGCATGGCCACTCTGCTCCCTGATGAGTTCTTATACTTGTGCCAAACAACTGCTGCCCCTCACCTTACCACAGACATTTACCTTACCCTGTCAAGCCTAATGCTTTATTTAGAATTGATATTTTAAATGTTTCTTTCTTTTTGGTGCATGTTTGAAGTACATAATGATTGCATTCATTATGGGGAGTTGGTACATGTACATAACACATCTTAATTATTTTTATATCCCCTTACCCTTTCCCCCTGCATCTTTTGTTATCTTCCAATTTGCAAAACATCTCCCTACTTCCTATATCTGTCTTTTATTTTATCTTTTTATATTTATTTATCATATAAGAGAAACTGTGTAATATTTAAGTTTGTGTGTCTGATTGATTTCAAGATATATTCATTTTCCTATGCAAGATCAGATATATCTTTTTTTATAGCAGACTAGTTATTTTGTAAGGAAATGAAAATGAACGTGACAATAAATAAAGGAAGAATAAGGTGCTTTGCAATTGCTTTGCAGTTAATTCATGGACCTAACAAGTACTTGCTTCTGCACATGTGTGGGCATCTATCTTCCAATATTATTTTAGCCCCTTAAATTAAAAAAAAAAAAAAAGCTTTTTGTACTACCGAGACAAGAAATCAGAAGCTTATATGTATTAGGAAAGCACTGTACCACAAAGTTACACCTACAACCACTTTGACTTTGTTTAATAACACAGTTAAATAAGTTGCACAGACTTGGGTTCAAAGTTTTTATACTTCTTGAGGAGATGAACTATAAGGTACAAAGTATTTTTAAAGTCTGTCTGTCTGTCTATCTCTCTTTCTCTAATCCTAAAATAACACACATTATAAATGAATTTTACTGTATCAGAAAAAACAACTCAAATTAAATGACTTACAACATATTTTCTCTTTCACACACATTGTATGCGGGCTCAGGGTCAATGTGGGCAGACTGTGACCCAGCTTGCCTCTTTTCTCAGGGTTTTCTCATTCTGGAGGCACGATCCTAGTGTAACTGCATGCCAAGTGATGCAGTACTGTTCGCCAAGTGATTACCCTTCATTTGCTCTGATTCTGATGGTCAATGGATGTCCCATGGATAAATTGTGAATAGGCACAAATTTATATATATATATATATTACAGTAAGGCATTTCAAAGCCATCAAAGATTAATCCTTGTATTGAGGATGGTATAAACACTTAGGAACAATAATACAACACACTCCTAATCCCTGAATTATTTAGTCATGGAGTGTCTTGGGTAGTGACATTTAAAAAAAAGCACAAGTACACTGATACAAAAGGTAAATCACTAGGGGACAAAGTTAAATTCTAGAACATTTATTTATATTTACTTATGGTTCATTAAAACCATAGAAATGTCTTTAGTAATCTATAGGGACTCAGTAGTCTTTAGTAATGCTATAGGAGCTCAGTTCTGTTTGCACACCATGGGAACCATGAAGATAAGGAGTGGAAGCTTGTGAGAGGTTCCTCGTGTACCTCTGCTTCTTGATTTACTCTCTGTTCATGAAAGCAGGCTGTAGTTCACCTGTGTAGGAAAGAATTCTCTGGCCTTTGTCTCAGTTCCTAGGGGATAGCCTTTAATTATTTGGAATTTCATGATTAATAGGGATTTTTATTCATTATGACTCTTGACACCATGCTGTCTTGTGGCCTCTGAATAATTCATATTAACAAGATGATTTAGGTTGAAGTCAGGCCATGTCAGAAAGAATAATCATATGATTAGAGTCATGAGACCTTAAGTCATGACACACCAGACCAGGCCCAGAAGGGATGCTGGACACTGAGTTCAACCTTATCAGCAATTATTCATTTAATGATCCCTATGCAATGAACTCCAATAAAATCTCTGCACATCCCACTCAGGAGATTTCCAATTATATGTGCATATTTGCACATTAAATTTTGGAAAAGTGACATATTCATTACGTCAATCAAAGTTTCATATTGGACCCTTCTAGATCTCATCCTGTATGTCTCTCCCTTTTGCTCTGAAGCATATCTTTTCATTAAAAGAACACTATAATCTCAAGTGTGATACAATCCTGAACTCATGGAATCTTTTTAGATAAATTTTAAAACCAAGTGGGGACCCCAAAATGTTCAGTCAGTGGATGCAAACTGAAGACATCCCTGCCATCTGAAGCAAGAGGAATCTTAAAGAAAGCATGCATTTCATCTGGGAGATATAGCATACTTGAGTTAGCTGCTGACAGAATCCCAATGTCAGAGGATTATTAATTTCATAAATACAAGATATTTGTGATATTTCATAGCAACATTGAATGTAATTATTTTGATTATCTGCAAAAATCATTAGAAAGAAATGAATCATTAAATACTGATTTTTTTTTAAAAAGTACTCTAATTTTGGTCAGTTTTTGGTGCTGTGAAAAGTTTTTTATACTATATCAACTAACAGATGTTAAAGTACACAGGAGACACACATTAACACACACAGAGTCTGTCATTTCATGATAAAATGATTTCATAATAAAATGGAATGTTTTAATAATAGATGAGAAAGCAATAGTATTATAAAGGATACATGTTATGGGGAAGTATTTTTTTTTTTTTTTTTTTTTTGGTACTGGAGCTCCAACTCATAACCTTACACTTGCCAGGCAGGCACTTATGCTGCTGAGCTAAATCCCTGGCCCAATGGGACAGTATTTGCAAAATGGAATTCAGAAAAAATATTGTGATCATGTTGTAGGTTCTTTCTTTTGTAAAAAAAAAAAAAAAAAAAAATATATATATATATATATATATATATATATATATATATATATATATGATTCTGATTTGGGGACTATAGAGGAAGAGAACAAGAAGTCACCAAGAAGCAAGTCCTCCTTGTGAGTTAGTGCTATGCATGGGCCACTTTGGGAGAGCCAGATTCCGGCCCCTTCCAATGTGTAGGCTGGGAAACAAGAAGTCTCAATTCTCCCTACTCCCCGACTAGCTGATCCAGAGAAACATAGGATGCATTGATGGCTATTGAGGTAAAATACAATTTAATACTTGTAGTGTTTAGTGTTGTGCTGACTGTGAAGGTCTAAAGCTGGTAGTCTGACCATCTATTCAGAGGATAAGAATATGAAACATAGCACCTATGGAGGATCTCCTTCTGAAGGTGGTAGC